GTATATGCCAGACAATGTTCTAAGTGCTCAAACATACGTTAAGTCAGCGATTCTCAAACTTGAGTCTGCATCAGAATCACCTGGATGACTGGGCGCCACCCCCAGAGTTTTTGATTCAGTGGAAGTTTGAAGTGGGTCCTGAGAATTTACATTTCTGACAAGTTCCATTAAGTGCTGGTGCTGCTGATTGGGGACCGCATTTTGAGAACAAAAGTATTAGGTCACTGACTCCTCAGAACAACCCTATTTTGGGGCAAGTGCGCTGAGGCTCATATAATAGTGGTAGAGCAAGAATGTGAGTCTAGGAGGCCCGGCAGCAGAGTCCGAGCTTACCTCTCTTTCAAAGCAGCAAATAAGATGTAACGAGACAAAAATCAATTTGGATGCAAAGACACAGCCAAGGGGAAGTGGGAGATTGGAGAAGGGTTGAGATAAATCCAAATTGTATGAAAATGTGTATGTAAAAACAATGTGGATGTATAAATTGCTCAAATAAATAGGTTAATTCATGTTATCCTCTGGTATCTCTTAAAAGAAAATAAGGAATGTAAAGTTCATGACCCAAATGTAAATAGTGGGTAAAAGTGAGAAAGGAAAACAAGCCGAACACAGAAGGCAATGGTGGGTTTGTACGTGCGCATGTGTGTGTTTCAGAGGATGGGGAAGGGTGTTACAAATATTTCAGCACCGACTGAAAAACTGCATCAACCCCCCTGTAAAAAGTTGAGTCACTCACTGGATGAGGCTATAAAAGCAACAGCAGCTGCTGCAACAACCTGCTATTTGCAAGAGGCATGTTTAAAACCTTCTGCTTGAGGAAAAGTCTAATGCATGAGGCTGCAAAATGAAATGCCTATAGAGGCCAAGTGCATGGGCCAGGGGCAGGGCAGCCGGGAGTGGTGTGGACAGAGGCAAAGGGGTCACCGCTACTCAGCTCCAGCCAGTTACTGCTTTTCTGTATGTGGGCCCGGTGTTGTGCATTTTTTTATTTTTCAGAGAAGCTAGAAATCTGGATTTTTACCAGAAATCTCCAGATTTTTAATAAACTTAAGTATTTCAAGGATATTGGTTGGTAAACAAAACATATCTGGGCTACACTGGGCTTGGGAGGCCCACCAATTTGCAATTTCTTATCTAATGTCTGTGATGCCTGAGCTTTAAACAAGGAAAAGGAGAATAGAAGCTCAGTGGCCCCTGTACTGAACAGTGGTCACATAACTGAAAATAGTAAGTGTTATATGGATGACAAGAGACTGACATACTCGATGTCAAGGATCTCCTTACCAACTAAAAAGTGAAAAGGCAGAATTGGTTATTATGCCTAATATTTTAAAGGTGAGGAAACTGAGGCTCAGAGATTAAGTTGCTAATTCAGTTATCAATTAGCACATGGAAAACTCTAGAACTAGGACCTAGCTGTTCTTCTGAATCCAAACTCCATGCTCTTTCTGCCTCCTGTGTCACATACAACTACGAATAGTACATAGTTCTCTCAAGAAATAAATGATCTGTGGATCAGCTTACTTTACTGCCGTAATTAAGAGTTATTAAAATATCCTCCTTGGTCCACTCTTCTCTTTTGCTTCACTTCCGGTTGGTTTGAGATCTCGCTTCATTAGTCTCACTTTTTCTGAGTGGGGATAATCTCTGGTTTGATATACTGCACCCCTTGAGCCCTTATTTAGATAAGACCATGCCCCCAGGCAGAGATGTCCCATTCCTGACCACCACGTACAATATCTTAATCTTTCGACAGCCTTGTGTTACTCCTGTACCCACTTTTATAAATAAAGAAACCAAAGCTCTCCCCACCTCTCAATTTCACTCTGTCTTTTATGTTTTCCTTTTCATTAACCCAAAGATGCTAACAGTGACACTGATGCCTAGTGCTAACTTGACAAGATGTGGGTTTGGATTAGGAACTAAAAATAACTGAATTTGTACTCAATTATTTTGAACTTTTCTATATACTGTTCCCTCTACCTAGATAACACCCTTCATATCTATGCTCCTCCCTTGCCTGGCTAACTTCTATTTATCTTCCACGTCTCAGCTTAGATGTCACATCCACCAAGAAGCCTTCTATGGATTTACTTCCACATCTAAGCTGGGTAAACTTCTCATGTGCTCGTATAGTCCCCTGGGTTTCAAACTGCACTGTGCTAGACACTAAGGAAACAAATATTAAAAAGCAAAACTTCCGGGAGTTCTGGATCAAGTTTAACAAGAAATTAAGGAATTATACATAAGTTTTCTGGCTTCCATGGATAGGGCAGGCGAAACTATAGTGAAAAAAGGAAACAGGTTGGCATGGGATATCCAAGGCCTTAGCACAGAGGGCAAAAGCTGGGGACAAGGAGATGTTCTAAACAGGAGTGCTCTTCATGGCTGATTTGGCTACTCCACAGAATCTTAGAAACTTAGCTTTGGGAGAGACCTTAAAAATCACATGGTACAACCTATATCTAATGCAGGAGTTATACTAGTCTTGAGTTTGTCAGGGTTAAAGAAAGTACGATATGCTGTGATAGAAAGTTGAAAAAGTACATGGTTTCTGCCCTTAAGAAACTTGTCAGGTAGCCAGATAGTAGAAAATAAATGGTCAATTATTTATCTATGCAGCAAACATTTATTCCATGCTCTATGTGCCGGAGATTGGTATTATTAACATCTCCATTTAACAGATTAGGAAGTTGGGTCTTAGGAAGGTAAAGTAACTTGTCAAAGGTTGTGCAGTTATGGTACTGGCACCTTCTAAGCACCTTTCATCCATTAGCTTATTTACTATGCATAACAGCTCCCTATAAGATAGGGACTTATATTAGCTTCACTTCACATATGAAAAAAATGATGTTTAGAGAATCTAAGTAACTTCCCCAAGGTCACACCACTAACAAATGATAGAGCTAGGATTCAAACCCAGGCAATCAATCTGGTTCTAGCATCCAGTGGGTTCTTAACCACCATGTTATATTGATAAATTGTTCAACCAGAGTTGTCAGTGAGAATCATATAATGAGTAACAATGTAATACATAACATGTGTCAGTTCTCTCCACTCCTTAGTGTCCTATTAACTCCATTACCAAAAAATAAACAAAAGAGAAGGAAAAGGACACAATTATCTGGGGGTGATTTTGGCAACAGATTGGGAACATTGCTGAGAGTGGGGGCTCTGACCTTCAGGTAACTGCAGACTTCTCACTCTGAAATTATCTACACAGTTTAGTGCAAATGAGCTTATGTGCATTTTTCTGAGACGTTCTACAACTTTCTATGTCTTCCTTAAGGAATCTAAGACATAAAAAGAAAAGAACCACCTAATAAAGAAAGGGAGGGGAAATGCCAATTAGCCTACTGGAAGCCAGCCAAATGCTGGACACTTCTATATTTTATTATTAAAAAATAAAATCCATAAATGCTGTGGAGCCGTTAAAAATAGTTACAACTATTGTAACTATTGACTTAGAAAATATTGATGTTGTAATGTTAATAATTTAAAAGTGTTATATCTACTTCACTTCTTCACCTGATTCCATCCTCAATCCATGCATATTTTGCTTCCTTTCCTCCACATGGACTGTATTTGTCAAGGTCACCAGGGACCTTCACCATGTCAGATTGTTTCCACGTCAATAATAGTCCATTTCCATCTCAGTGGCGCTTTCCCAGGCACCTTCTTGGCCACTGCTAATTGTTAGAGCACTCGAGAGTTCAATTTGGGTCCTCTTCTCTCCTTCATCCTTCTTTTCGTCACTCTCTCCATAAGTGATCTCATCCAGTTCCATGGCTTTAATTACTTCACACTTTCAGTAGTTAAGTGTATATAAAGAATTTAATTCACAACTCCAGCCCTGACCTCTACAATGATCCCTAAGTAGGAATGTATTTAGTTGTCTACCTAACATCTCTCCTTGGCTATCTAAGATGTAAGTATCTCAGACTAAATCTTGCAAACAGAATTATTATTATTATTATTATTATTATTATTATTATTATTGTCTTGTTCAGCTCACAGAAGAGTGAATGGCTCATAGCAGATTCTCAAGAAATGTTTGCTGAATGAATAAGTGAAAAAAATATATATACAGTATACACACACACACACACGTTTGTACAATTATGTTTAACAACACATCATTAGAGTGGTGGGAAAAAAACACCAAAATGTTAACTGGTTGTGCATGAAACTATAAGATTTGTCTTTAAAACTTTTTCTATTTTTCAATTTTATTTAGAGGATAGTGGTTAAGAATATCAGACTTCGGAGCTGAGTGACCTCTGCCAGACTGCTACTTCTTGCTTTTTTCATATACTAAATAGGCTTTAAAATATGTACCTCATTTATCAGGCAGCATTCACAATATGCTTGAAGATAAAAGTGAATAAATAAAATGGAGTCACTATAGCCAAGGCGCTAAATTACTAAAATCAAGTATATTGTGATATGAGGAGAGGTTTGTTTTAAGAAGCCTGGGAACTTAATCTTTTGAAATTTCCAGTCCTGTGTAAATGCCCCGACACACAACTACCAGATAACCCTCTGATTACCCCAGAGGGACTAAGGAAAGAATGGTCCTGTATCCAGCCAACTGAGGTCCATTATCCAGACCACAAGGTCATTTACAGGATTACCATCTTCCATCAAACCAGAGGCTAAGATAAAAATGCAAGACTGATTCTTCTTAAGAATGTACTTTTTACTATAAGAACCCTCCACTTTTCTTTTTTGCAGAATACTCTGGGTATTGCCCAGTTGCATTCTCTGTTTACAAACTCTAAGACCCTTGAATAAATCTCTCCCATGTATTTCTTGACAAAGATTCCTGACACACTTGTTCAGTGTAAAGGGTTTGCTGTGAAATTATGAACGTAAAGACCCGCTGCAGGATACAAACTGAGTGGTAGTGAGTGTTAGGTGATAATGATGACAAACGTGTTTTCTTTTACAACAAAAATACATAAACTTTTACTGAAGGGAGTAACTCCACGTCCACATACCCGCCAGCCCGGGACTCTGCGGCTCTCTCCGGCTTCCCGCGGCTCCCGGCGAGCGGCGCCGCGCATGTTCGGTCCCCTTCTTCCGCCCACGTGGCCCTCTCAGGCTCCTCCCCGTCTCAAACATGGCGGCGTCCAGGGGCTCAAACCGCACGTGAGAGAGTTTGGACACCTGGGAATCTGCAGTGTCAGCCAGTTTCCGTTCCTTAACCTCGGCTGCATCCCTTCGACCCTTCCGCAGGCCCTCGCGGGCTGCTGCGTCTCTGCAACCATGAAGACAAAGCCCGTTTCCCACAAGACCGAGAACACATATCGGGTGAGTGAGGGAGCTTGGACCAGGAGCCGTGAGTCCCTGGTGTCTCAGACGTGGGACTGGCTCTGAGCGGGACTCCCGGGGCTGCAGATTTCTGGGCCAAGCGTTAGTCACTTGCCCCGAGACTCTGGCAAAAGATGGAGACTCTCCGCGTGTAGTAAACATGAAGTACGAAAATAAGTCGGGCAGCAAATTTCGCCCATGGTTTGTGGCGTCTGGCGTGCGTGGGAAACCCCTTCAGTCCGAGTTAAATTCACTGTCACAAACTAATTCCTTAGGAGCTATTCTCCGCTGCTGTTTTACCTTTAAAGGCCAAATTAGGGGGCGGGCCGGTGGGAGAACTTGAATGATTTCCAACCAATGGCTATCACACTTTCTCTACCCTTTGAGAGTTTCTTCCTTGTGATACAGCCATAGGTTTGTATGTGTTTAAAATCAATATTATTGCAACGACTTAGTCAGATCCCTGTGCTTGTAAAGGGATACGAAACTTAATAGGTCTAGCAAGGCCACATCGCCAGCTTTCACCTAGGTCTGCTGCAGTCTAGCATGAAAATTTTATTTGAAATGATATAACTGAAAGAACTTATGCAAACATATTCATAGAAGTATTCTATTATCTTATAGTAGCGTAGTGCATTTTTTTAAGGCTCTATATTCTTTCTTATACATTTTTTGATTGGTTGAAAATATAAGTCTGAAATTGCAAGGGAAGCCTACTATTATTTATAGTGATAGTACAAGAGGAGGCTTATGGAAGCTTTAAACTTTCCACTTTCACAAGGGAATTGTCCACATGTGGCTGTTATACAGCATTCAAACAGATACTCAAGATGTGGTAAATATTAAATGATGATATATCTTAACTATGCTCCTCCCCCTTCCCACAGTTTCTTACATTTGCTGAACGACTGGGGAATGTGAATATCGATATTATTCACCGGATTGATAGAACTGCGAGCTATGATGAGGTAAGAAAATGTTGTACTAACCAGTCTTAGAGTAGTCATAGTCATTTTTTTAGTCTCTGCTCTTAGAAATGGCTTAATTTTCAAGCCATTTCTTTATGAACATGAAATGCATTAGTCCTGTGCTGTCTAATAAAATAGCCACACATGACAAATTAGATTTAAATTAAGTAAATTAAAAATCCAAGTGTTCAGTAGTCACATGTGGCTAGTTGCTACCATATTAGACAAGTGCAGATATGCAACATTTCCATCATTGCAGAAAATTCTATAGCTTTGATACTAGGGTGGCTTCTGTGATTCTAGCCTTTCTCTTTCCCATGTTTATTCCAAGCACTGTTGCAGATCCATATTCTTGAAGCTACAATTTAAAAAGAGTTTGAGCAAGTCACTTTTCTGAGGCTTAATTTACTCTTTTATAAAAAGATTAGGGCTAGAATTTCATAATTTTTTCTACTTTTAGCCATGCTCTAACTCAGTCACACCTCTACAAAAAAACCTTGCTTTTTGTTGCATCAAGTAATTATTTTTCTGCTAGCCTTTTAAGATCCCATAGAACATGCTTTTAGCTTATGGATTCAACCTCAGTTTTTACTATTTGTCACTTGGCTCTAGTCAGACTTTGCTCACTGCCTTCGAATGCCTTCTCTCCAATGTGTGAATTCAGTGTGTCGAATGATGTCATCTAAGTAAGGACATAACACTTTGGGAACTCATCATCAGAGGAGCCTAACCTGAATTCTTTGGAGGCGAAGGGTGGGGTGTCAAAAATGATAACATAGATAAGGTGATACCTGAATTTAGTCTTGTTTATATAGGTTTTAGCGTGGCAAAGAAGACAAGAAAGAATATTTAGGCTGTGGGAGAAGCCTGTATAAATGAACAGGCTAGAGAATACATGTCACAGTCAAGAAACTACAGAGCGGTTAATTGTGGTTATAATTGTATATATGGTGTTTGTGTATAAGTGTATGTACAGTCGATAATGACTGGGATGGGAGAAGGAGTGTCTGGTGAGAGATAAAGCAGAAGAGATAGTCAAGGATCATAACGGGCTTTATATGTCAAGCTAAGTTTGGATTTTATCCTGAAGTTATGTGATGTCATTCTAGGATTATAAAACGTGATCAGGTTTAAGTTTTAGATCTCTCTGGCTTTAGTGTAGAATAAAAAGTAGGACTGGAGTCAGGGCAACCAGTTGTGAAGATTTCGTAGTCATCTAACCAAGAGGTGATTATGGTAGTGGCAGTCAAGATGGAGAGAAGGGAAGGATTCCAGAGATATTAAAGAAGTAGACTTAATAGGACTTGTGACCTGCTGAATATGAAGGGAGGAAGGGAATGGGGTTAAGATTTTCTGTTTCAACTAGTTGGTTGAAGATGTCATTCATCAAGATAGATTTAGGAAGAGAAGCACAAGGTTGATTTTGTTTGGGGCTTGTTGAATTTGATATACTTGTGGCTCACCAAATGATGATATCCAAAAGACATTTGGATGTATGGATCTGGAGGAGTACAGATGACTTCGGAGGTGGAGTTACAGATTTAACATTCAGCAAATGGTTTAGTTTAAGCTATAGGAGAGGTTGTAAGCACTAAGGGATAGAGTGTTGAGTTAGCAGAGAAGAGAGCCTAGGATAGGATCCTGGGCTGGGAGGTCCAGTCTGACATCAAACAAATGTCTGGCCATTGACTGAGGCTAGTTGGTCTAGGTCATCTTCATAGCTTCTTGTTCTCCAATAAGCTGGACTAGGCTTCTTTTCATGATGACAGAATCTTTCCAAGAAAGTAAAAGCAGAAATTACAAGGCCTCTTAAAGATTAGCTTGGGCAGTCGCAGGATTGTTTCCATTGCATGTTATTGGTCAAAGCAAGTCACAAGGCCAGGCTAAGTTCAGGGGGTGAAGAAATAGACTCCAACTCTAGGTGATAGAGGCTGCCAGTCACATTGTAAAGGGGTGGGGACATAGTCTATCAGAGATGGCTGACATGTACCAATCACTGTGCTAGGCTACAAATTCCTTCTCCATTTAGGTTTTAAACTGTTAGGTATGTTTCTCTTCTGCCTTAAGAGACACTGAACAAAATTTAATTGGATTCTCTTCCTTCCTATTCTCCCTATTGATTTTATTTCATTTTTATTTTTTAAAGATTTCCAAAGCACAAGTTAAAGATTTACTCTTTTTTGAGATTGTAGAAGATTTTGCATGCTGTTTGAGTATGTGCTTATGTATTTGTTCTCTCTCTCTTTTTCTATGGGCATACACGGCAATACGCACACATACACACATATATATACACATATACATGCATACATACATATTCACATAGATACACACATATATATGGACAAAGTAATATATACTGTGTTAACAAGCTAAATAACGTAGTGGTGAACTTAGACAAACATATTATCTCACCTTTCCACCTACTATTGCCAAGGAAACCAGTATTGGCAATTTGGTATATGTGTATTTTTCCATGTTTTTCTGTAATACAAATATGTGCAAACATTTATAGACTGTGTAACTTTTATCACTTTGGAAGGGATATCAACATCCTTCTTGTTCAATATAGATATAGATCTTTTTAATAGCCACATAATATACCTTAGTATCTATAGGCCACAAGTTATTCTAATCATTTTTCTGTTGTTACATATTTAGGCTATTTTATGTTCTCCTCTCACTACAATAAAGCTGAATAAACATCTATATACTAATATGTTTGAAAGTTTTATAAGAAATGTCTCCAAAGGGGGATTTTCTGTTTATAATTTTAATCAAAATGCTTGATTACTTCCCTACAAGGTTGTAGCAATTAATATTTCCAAAAGCAGAATGAAAGAACTGTGAAGAGTTGGCACATTTTTCTGGGCCTAAAAGTGTAAAAAATGTAGGAAAAAAAGATTTTTTCCTTAGAGTGACAATTATATAGGTTTTAGAGAATTATTTGCTGCAACCAAATCAACAAAACATTGTTTTCATAAAGCATCTGTCCATATTGTATACCCGAATGCTTTTTAAATATATTAGTTAATGCCCATTAAAAAAAAACACTAAAAGTTAACTTGTTTTAAGATATTAATATATCATTATTCTTATTTACTTTGATCATATTTTGAATTGTCTGATTAATGGGCTGCTTTAATCTTGGCAGGAGGTCGAAACCTACTTTTTTGAGGGACTGCTGAAATGGAGGGAATTGAACCTTACGGAACACTTTGGTATTTTCTATTTTGTTTCTGTTTCATTCACTCATCATTTGCACTTTATATTCAAAACAACTAAATAGCAATATGATGGAAGAGCAAAACATCTATGTTTTTTTCATCCAGGAAAATTTTACAAAGAAGTTATTGACAAATGCCAGTCATTCAATCAGCTGGTCTATCATCAAAATGAGATAGTTCAGAGTTTAAAGGCTCACCTGCAAATCAAGAACAGTTTTGCCTATCAACCCCTTTTGGAGTAAGTAGTATGTCTGCATTTATGAGTAGTTGTGTTTTATAGCTATACATGTCATAGATCTCGTGTTTGTTTTAAAAATAAGAATTTATTTTGAGTATTAGTGCTTTGCCATAAAACGGAATCTTAGGTGTGTACTTTGTTCACTATTATTTTATACTTTTAAGATAATCCCATTTTTCTTTGACATAATAGGAAAAATTGACCATCACTTGTGATAGAATGCATCTTCTTGCTCTAGCCTGATTTCTCTGCTGCACTTTTAAAATGTGAAGAATTTGAAAAATTTTGTCTCTCTCTTGAGACTTGATTTGGAAGATTTAATTAATTCTAT